AACTAAAAATGGAACTGCCTTTTCACCCAGTAATTCCACTGCTGGTATTGTACCCTAAGAACCCTGAAACAGCAATCCAAAAGAACCTATGCACCCCAATGTTCATAGCAGTACAATTTACAATAGCCAAGTGCTGGAAGGTACCTAAGTGCCCATCTGTAAATAAGTGGATCAAAAAACTATGGTACATTTACACAATAGAATTCTACACAGCAGAGAGAAAGGAGCTCCTACCCTTTACAACAGCATAGATAGAACTGGAGAGCATTATGCTAAGTGAAATGAGCCAGGCAGTGAGGGACAAATACCATATGATCTGACCTTTAACTGGAACATAATCAACAAAAGAAAAAAGCAAACAAAATATAACCAGAGACATTAAAATTAAGAATGTTGTTCTTAAGAATGTTGTTAAATGTTGTTACATTTAACAACAGCCAGAGTCGAGGGGGGAGGAGACAATGGGGGGATTTCAGGAACTACTATAAAGGACACATGGACAAAACCAAGGGGGAATGTGGAAGCAAGGGAGGGAGGTGGGTCTGGCTGGGATGGTGGGGAGTGGTAGTGGGGAAATGCAGACAATCGTAATTGAACAACAATAAAGTAACTTTAAAAAAATGAAAAATAAATAAATTTTAAAAAGCAACATAAAGCACTAAAAAATTACTTAAAATGAAAATGAATTATATGCTCTCTTTAAAAGGCATATGGTGGCTAAACTAATAATAAAGCAAGAGCCTTACATATGATGTCTACAAGAGACTCACTTCAGATGTAAAGACACCTATGGACTGAAAGTAGAAGGATGGAAAAAGATATTTCATGCAAATGAAAACAAACAAGAAAAGATGTTGGGGTAGCAATACTTACACTAAGCAAAATAGACTTTAAAACAAAGGCTATAACAAGAGACAAAGAAGGACCAAGCAATTCCACTTCTGGATATTTGTTGGGAACCGCCCTGACTGGTATCAGAAACTGAGACCCCCGCCTAGGCTAAGGCTAAGGGAACGCCCTTGGAACCGTAAGCCGGCAAGGAGATAAAAGCTTATCTCCCTGGCAGTAATGCTGTTTCTGCTGCCGAACCCCCAAAAAAGCTTAGTCGGTTAGCCAAAGACGGGTAAGATTCCCCACGAGGGAACAACCCAAGCCAGGCACGATCACTTTGGGAGGCCCCCCAAAGAAGGACTTGGGGGGGGCTGCAGCAAAAGGGGGTGATGGACCCTCACTCCTCGGCTTTGACAAAGTCTGAGTTCTCAGCGTCCGGAAGAAAATCTCCTTATCTCTCGGTGGCTTTAGTTCCCGCGCTCCACCTAAGCCTGAAACAATGACGGGGAAGTGCAGCTCGGTACTGGGAAGTGCGGATTTCCCGGGGTGATCGGGCCTAAGAAAGAACATGTAAATTACTGTGAAACCTTCTTTGTCCAAGAATGCTCTTAGTTGAATGAGGAGGGTCTTAGGAGGAAGCTAGTTTGTTCCTCAGCCTTACAGCTCTTTGACCCCCCAACTCAATAGACCGGCAGAGTTCTTTGTTTTATATGTTCCTTACTTCCCCCTAATGAGTATTGTACGTTACCTGAGTTATTATGTAGCATGAGCCTAATAAAAGCAGGTATGGACGGTGGATCAGCGCGCCCCCCACTAGGGGGGGTGGCCATTCTGTCCCTACTTCCCCACAGAAACTGGTTTGTCTCTGTGCATGTGTGTTTTTTCTCGCGTATTGTCGAGCCATCCACAGTGTGCCGTGGTCACTGCTAGCCGGTGACCCACGCGCAACAGATATTTATCCAAAGAAATCCAAAACAATAAATCAAAAAGCCATATACATCCATATGTTCATTGCAGCATTATTTACAATAGCCAGGATATGGAAGCAACCTAAGTGTTCATCAGTAGATGAATGGATAAAGAAGTGGTGCATTTATACAATGGAATATGACTCAACCATTTAAAAAGAATGAAATCTTGCTATCTGCAAAGACATGGATAGACCTCGAGCGTATTATGCTAAGTGAAACAGGTCAGAGAAAGACAAATGCCATATAATTTCACCTATATGTGGAATCTAAAAAACCAAAATAAACAAACAAGCAGAACAGAAACAGACTCATAGATACAGAGAACATTTTGATGACTGTCAGATGGGATAAGGGTTGGGGGTGGAAATGTGAAGGGATTTAGAAGTACATATTGGTAGTTACAGAATAGTCATGGGGATGTAAACAATTTTTTATTTTTTATTTTAATAACTGTACGGAGTCAGATGGGTACTAGATTTATCAGGATGATCATAAGTTACATAAATGTCTAATCATGGGATTATACAGCAAAAACTAACAAAAATTGTAAATCTATAATTTAAAAAGAAAAAAAAAGAACAGGGGGAATATGTTGTATAAATAGTACACCTGTAAGAGTTCTGGCCAAGAGGGAGGCGCAGGTAGAAACCCTTTGCTTCCTCACACAACCAAAAGGAGAATAACAACCAATCTAAACACAATAAACAACCAGAAGTGCCAGAAAATCAAACTGCATGGAACTCTGACAACCAAGGAATTAAAGAAACAGTCAACCAGACCAATAGGAGGGAGGCAGGCAGATGGGTAGATAGAGAGAAGCTGGGGCAAGGCAGTGGACGTTGCAGGTGGGGGTGGGTGAATGGGAAACTGAGACTCAGAGCTGACTGTGGACTACAGCAGGGGTTGCCATGGTGGGAGAAACTCACAGACTCACACAAAAGTTTGTTGGAAAGTGGGGCTAGAGCCCAGCAAGCAAGCTGTATTGTTCCCTCTCTGACCCGTTCCCCAGAGACAGCAACACAGTGCAGCAAAGAGGGTTGCCCTGCCCTGGAAAATACCTAAGGCCCACCCCCTTACAACTTAACAGATGTGCCTAGACAAAGAAATATGGCCCAAATGAAAGAACAGAGCAAAACTCCAGAAAAAGAGCTAAGCGATGAGGAGATAGCCAACCTACCTGATGTGGAATTCAAAACACTGGTAATCAAGAAGTTCACAGAACTGATTGAGCTTGGTCAAAAAATGAAAGAAGAATAGAAAACAACCCAAAGTGAAATAAAGCAAAATATTCAGGGAGCCAACAGTGACAGGAAGGAAACTATGACTCAAATCAACAATTTGGAACAAAGGGAAGAAATAAACATCCAATCAGAACAAAATAAAGAAACAAGAATTCAAAAAAAAATGAAGAGAAGCTTAAGAACCTCTGGGACAACTTTACACATTCCAACATCCGAATTATAGGGGTGCCAAAAGGAGAAGAACAACAGCAAGAAATTGAAAACTTATTTGAACAAATAATGAAGGAAAACTTCTCCAATCTGGCAAAGGAAATAGACTTCCAGGAATTCCAGGAATCCCAGAGAGTACCAAAGAAGTTGGACCCAAAGAGGAACACACCAAGGCACATCATCGTTAAGTTACCCAAGAAAAAGAGAATGTTAAAAACAATAAGAGAAAAAGAGACAGTTACCTATAAAGGAGTGCCCATAAGGCTATCAGCTGATTTCTCAAAAGAAATCTTGCAGGCAAGCAGTAGCTGGAAAGAAGTGTTTGAAGTCATAAAACGCAAGGACCTACATCCAAGATTACTCTACCCAGGAAAGCTATGATTTAGATTGGAAGGACAGATAAAGTGCTTCCTACATAAGATCAAAGTGGAATAAAGCAAAATATTCAGGGAATCAAGAGTGACAAGAAGGAAACCGGTACTCAAATCAATTATTTGGGAAAAAAAAGGAAGAAATAAACATCCAATTGGAAGAGAATGAAGAACAAGAATTCAAAAAAAAATGAAGAGAAGCTTAGGAACCTTTGGGACAACTTTAAATATCCCAATATCTGAATTATAGGGGTGCCAGAAGGAGAAGATTAGAGCAAGAAATGGAAAATTTATTTAAACAAATAATGAAGGAAAACTTCTCCAATCTGGCAAAGGAAATAGATTTCCAGGAATTCCAGGAATCCCAGAGAGTACCAAAGAAGTTGGACCCAAAGAGGAACACACCAAGGCACATCATCGTTAAGTTACCCAAGAAAAAGAGAATGTTAAAAACAGTAAGAGAAAAAGAGACAGTTACCTATAAAGGAGTGCCCATAAGGCTATCAGCTGATTTCTCAAAAGAAATCTTGCAGGCAAGCAGTAGCTGGAAAGAAGTGTTTGAAGTCATAAAACGCAAGGACCTACATCCAAGATTACTCTACCTAGGAAAGCTATGATTTAGATTGGAAGGACAGATAAAGTGCTTCCTACATAAGATCAAGTTCAAGGAGTTCATCATCACTAAGCCCTTATTATATGAAATGTTAAAAGTACTTATCTAAGAAAAAGGAGATAAAAAATATGAACAGTAAAATGACAACAAACTCACAACTGTCAACAATCAAACCTGGAAAAAAAAAAAAGAACTAATCAAACAACTAGAACCAGAACAGATTCACAGAAATAAATCACTGGAGGGTTATCAGCAGGGAGGGCATGGTGGGAGATTGAGGGAAAAGGTATAGGGAATAAGAAGCATAAATGATAGGTACAAAATAGACAGGGGGAGGTTAAGAATAGTATGGGAAGTAGAGAAGCCAAAGAACTAATATGTACGACCCATGGACATGAACTAAGGTGGGGGAATGATGGTGGGAGGGGGGAGTAGAGGGCAGAAGAGAATAAAGAGGAGAAAAAAGGGACAACTGTAATAGCATTGTCAATAAAATATATTTAAAAATAAAAAGAGAAAAAAAAAACAACAACAAATTTTCACCCTAGTGGAGGAGATATAATCACCACTCAGAATGCATGATCTTGAAGCACGCAGCAACTGAAGGAATTGTCTACAGGTAAGTCTACAGACCTAGCAAGCATTACCCTCAAGCTAACATTCATGAAGTTCTTTGTTCAACTTTAAAGCATTTTAGTTATATATGAAAGCACAAACACAGTCAAACCATTTCCTACTCCAGAGACTAGGGAAATGCACTTACCTCCTGCCGTTTGAAGTTCTGGACATATTCTTCAAACTGTTCATCTTTTGTCTCATCAGCTTTCCCAAGCTTCTGAAGGACCTAGTTTGCAAATAAGACAAAATGGTTTGATTTAGTAACAGTTTCACATAATCGGCAGAACAAGGCTGTTTTGCTCCTCTGAGAAGTCTATCTTAGCCCAGCTAGTTTTTCTGTTCTAGAAGCATCTTTTAGCTTGGTGGCCTTGGAGCTCAGCATACTTGGATTTTAGTTATAGTCCCACTGCTCACAGTCTATGTGACCTTGAGCAAGTGTCATGGTAGGTTGCATTTATTTATTATTTTCCTCCAGCAGGCCACGCAGGACTTAAAGACAAAAGCTACACCTTATCATTTCCATCAAAGTATTTGGCACAATGCTTGATGCATAATAGGTACTCAACTTTTTGTTAAACAGTGATCCAAAATGATCTGACTAAAGTAGTAAACTATTTCATAGGAATGGTATTATTGGAGTCAGGCACATGGTAAGTTCTCTCCCACCATCTTCTACAATAATATTCCCTTCAACTGAATAAATACTCAAAAGGGCACTGGATTACACAAGGCCCCATGCTAAGTACTGGCCATCCAGAAATGCAAAAACAAATAAAACAAGGCCTCAGCACTTAAGCTTAAGAAATGTGTAATCTAGTGGAATAGACAAGGCAGACTCATAAATAACAAGACAATCTGTCAAAAGTAACATGAGCGGTTGCAAAGTTTTGTTAACAATACCCCTCAGAGTTGAAGTTAGGAAATGCACTGTGGAGGTTTTCAAATTGTGCTGGAAAGTCCAGCAGACAGAAACATGACAGACTATATTCCAGCCAAAGAAGTAGCCAAGATCACTAGAAAAATCATTATGCACTGTGGGACTGAGCAGGAGTAGTATAGTTTTCCTACAGCATAGGACTGGTATTAGGAAAATTAATTCTCAGAGATATAGCAAAAAGTTACTTTGGTACAGAGCAGAAGGATTCTGAGAGCAACAACTGGATTCACTATTCAATATTGCCATATCTCATTTCTAAAATACCAACTTAGTCAAGAATATAAAAACTCCATAAACATTGCCTTCTCAAAATACATACACCCTATGACATTACAAAATACTTTTTTATGAAATGTAAACATTTAGGCATTAGGACTCCTGGCCATGATGGAGGCATAGGTAGACACAGTGTGTCTACTCGCACAACAACAAAATAAGGACAACAACAATTTAGAAACAAAAAACAACCAGTACCAACAGAAAATTGAACTGTATGGAAGTCTGACAACCAAGGAATTAAAGTAGACATATTCATCCAGACCAGTAAGAGGGAAAAAGTGGGGCAGCCAGGCGAAGAGGGGTTGCAGCAAAGTGGTGGCTGGCGGACCCCAGGAGCGCAAGGCAGCAGCTGGTGGACCCAGTGAGGTGGCGGATTGTGGAGGGGCCCAGCACACAAGGTGGCTGGAGGACCAAATGGTTCCACATTCATGCGCAGATAAACCAGGCAAAACTGGGGAACAAGACAAACAGCACAACTGGGGGTCCCAGTATGGGGAAATAAAGTGTCAAAACACCAATTGAGAATACCTATGGGGGTTGAGGTGCTGGGAGAAACTCCCAGCCTCACAGGAGAGTTCATTGGAGAGACCAACAGGGTCCGAAAATGTACACAAACACACCCACATGGTCAGCACCAGAAGCGCCCAATTTGATTGTGGGAAGTGGGGGAAGTGACTGAAACCTCACAAAGAGCAGAGCAAGCACCATTATTCCCTCTCCGACCCCTCCTCCACATACAGTGTCACAACCCAGCCACATGGGTTGACCGCCCTGGTCAACACCTAAGGCTCTGCCCCTCACTACATAACAAGCATGCTGAGACCAAAAAAAGTGGCCCAAATGAAAGAATAGATCAAAGCTCCAGAAAAAATATAACTAAGTGACGAAGAGATAGACAACTTATCAGACGCACAGTTCAAACACTGGTAATCAGGATGCTCACAGAATTGGCTGAATTTGGTCTCAAATTAGATGAAAAAATGAAGGCTATGAAAAGTGAAATAAAGGAAAATGTACAGGGAGCCAATAGTGATGGGGAGGAAACTGGGACTCAAATCAATGGAGTGGACCAGACAGAAGAAAGAAACATCCAATCAGAAAAGAATGAAGAAATAAGAATTCAAAAAAATGAGGAGAGGTTTAGGAACCTCCAGGATATCTTCAAACATTCCAACATCTGAATTATAGGAATACCAGAAAGGGAAGAGGAAGAGCAACAAGTGGAAACATTATTTGAACAAATAATACAGGAGAACTTCCCCAATCTGGCAAAGGAAATATAAGGAAGTTTCCAGGAAGTCCAGGAAACTTAGAGAGTCCCAAAGAAGTTGGACTCAGGGAGGAACACACCAAGGCACATCATAATTACATTACCCAAGATGAAAGATAAGGAGAGAATCTTAAAAGCAGCAAGAGATAAGGAGACAGTTAGCTACAAAGGAGTTCCCATCAGACTGTCAGCTGATTTCTCAAAAGAGACCTTACAGGCAAGAAGGAGCTGGAAAGAAGTATTCCAAGTCATGAATGGCAAGGACCTACATCCAAGATTGCTCTATCCAGTAAAGCTTCCATTTAGCATGGAAGGGCAGATAAAGTGCTTCCCAGATCAGGTCAAGTTAAAGGAGTTCATCATCACCAAGCCCTTATTATATGAAATGTTAAAGGGACTTATCTAGGAAAAAGAAGATAAAAAACATGTACAATAAAATTATAGCAAACTCACAATTATTAACAACTACACCTAAAACAAAAACAAAAACAAACTAAGCAAACAACTAGAACAGGAACAGAACCACAGAAATGGAGATCACATGGAGGGTTAGCAACAGGGGAGTGGGAGGAGGAGAGGGTGGGTAAAGGCACAGAGAACAAATAGCATAGATGGTAGGTAGAAATAGCCAGGGGGAGGGTAAGAGTAGTATGAGAAATGTAGAAGCCAAAGAACTTATAAGTATGACACATGGACATGAACTAAAGGGGGAAATGTGGGTGGGAGGGGTTGTGCAGGGTGGAGGGGAATGAAGGGGGGAAATGGGACAACTGTAATAACATAATCAATAAAATATATCTAAAAAATATTTGGGCATTAAAACATATACTCACACAAACCACTTTCTGTGGCTAGGTTTTATACATAGATCATGCTAGTTTGTTTCCTAAAATCAAAGATATAACCTTGTACAAATTAACAAGTTTTAATTATGCCTTTCAATACAAAGACAGAGTGAGAAAAGCCACTTAAAACTTAGGAAGAGACAAAAGAGATCCCTGGGAGTCCTTTTTCATGCAGTGCTGGACTGGCACTTCTGATGGACTTCCTATCAACTGGGCTATTTACAGCCCCATAGAGACAGAGGTTAACCTGAAGATTTTTGTAAGATATGCAAACAGTTTCCATTCAATGGAAAGGTAAACCCAAAAGGTTATAGCTTATGATCCTGCAGGACAATAACCAGTTTGGAATCTAATTCAGGAATCTTATTCTAAAATCCCTTTATTAAACAGTCACACAAATACCTAGCTCTTCAAATATATTTTGAATCAGTTTTTTAAATAATATCTTTATTGTATTTTTTCCATGACCATTAATCCCCCTTATTCTCCTCTCCCACCCCCTACAATTACCACATTGTTGTCCATGTCCATGAGGACTTTCTCCCTTTGGCTTGATCCCCTCCTCTGCCCTCTAAACCCTCCCTATAGCTATCATCCTGCTTTCTATCCATGAGTCTATTTCTATTTTGTTCATTAGTCCAATTTGTGCATTAGATTCCATGATTCCACATATTCACTCAGGTATGGAATAATAAATATTCTTTTTTTACCACCATCTTACTGGATACCTCATTAATTAATGAAATGAATAAAATTTATGGCACATGTTTATTTCATGTTTACATGAAAATCTTGTTTTTAACTTTTGAAAAATTATACTTTAACAACAGGATCAACTTCTTAGTGCTGTGCAAATGTAAGATATTATTGCTATTATTTTTATTAGCATTGTAATAAGAAAGATGGGGCAAAGCAAAATTTCACAGGCTACTTGCAAGAGAAGTAAAATTCAATGACATAAGGATTCCTGGCCTTGTTAAAAGACCCCCTTCAACCTACTCCCATTTTTTTATTCTAAGTGCTTCTGTTTTCCTTTTTTTTTTTAAAGTTAGGTCTTCCAAATGACCTCCCACCAGAAACATGCAGAAAAACTAAAGTGTCATGGGAAAGAAAACCAGTATTTACCACATGAAGTTTTTCCTAATTCTTAAAATCTACTTATTCATTAATTTTTAATTTCTCTAGATCAAGTAAGTCATTGAGATCCAGCAATACCTTATCTAATGGTAGCAGTTCACAAAGGCCAGGGGAGGCTATCAAACTTTCATGAGGAAGCAGCAACAGCTCAGTTCTACAACTTTATATGTTAGTGAAAAGGAACTCCTGTTGCAGTGAGTGGAGGGAAAAAAAAAACAAACAACATTAACTGAGGATCTAGTATATGCCTAAAACTGCAAAAGTAATTTACATGTTACCTCTTCAGTTCTCAAAACATTCCTATATGATACTTTTTTTGGATCACACAGTAAGTGGCTTGTTGAATACCCTCAAGAAAATCCCCATTCTGAGGTCTGATACCTCTGTCACCATCATCTATAGTCTTCTCCTTCTCATGGGAAACCCATAGGATTTATGCATCAAACTATTTTTCTCATTCTCATCCAAAATCCCTACAGCCTACCCTACCCTAAGGAAGGCATATCTCCTAGACTGCACATTTACAACAGTGGAGGGGATCTTTTGCAGACACCTTGCTTAAAGTCCATTATTTAAATTTGAAATCATGAGTCCTTGCTTTTCATTCCTAGCAACTGTACAGTATAACTAAAATAACATGACAAAAACTGATTCTGCATGTAAATAGAGGTAAAAGGATTATTTAGATGACACCATAAGTTCATGCTTTCTCTTCTAAGAAAATAGGAAAAAATCCAGAACTCCTGGAGGTATAGTAT